CCACCTTAGACGTGAAGCGACGAAAAGGGCAAGCTCTCGCCTTCAACAGATGACCGCAAACGTGGGTCGAAAAAAGGAGCGAACGTTGGCCTCCATGAAAGGATTAGAATCATGGGCTGAACGAAAGAGAGACCGCTCGTCCTCAGCACATGGCAAGAAAAAGGCACGTCTTGCAGTAGTAGTACAGCCAAAAGGTCAACGCGGATTGGTCCTATAGGATGAACAAAGAATGCGCAGGCGTACAAGGGGACCAGTCAACGTTGGAACAGAGGAACTATTATGTTGATATGAAGATTACGATATTTCGTGTTGGGAATTGTTGGCATTTTTATGTGCGGTGTGCATGCAAGTAAAGCTCTGTGTCCAGATTCCGCGTCTTGTTTGCCCGTAACTCCCAGCCGGTTGCAAGATGGTACCGATGTCGATGCCTTCGTAAATGGGTCTCTGCACCAGAGGAAGCAAGGGGACGGTATGTTACACGGTGCAAAATCTGAAGTATTGGCCGGAGAATTTGTCATTATCCGTGGGTATATGAGTAAAGGTAACGTCCCCCTTGCTGTTGGATAATCGCCACAGGAGCTAGTTTGCTATATTTGTACTTAAGAATTTCGACAGCTGATTCTTGTTAGCACTCGAATTATTCCTTGATGCCGAGGATGATACTTGCGGAAGGGGAAATTGTAAATATACCGAAAATAGATGCGAAAATGATTCAGGTATAAGCTCAAAGTCCAGCTATCAGTCCAGATAATGGCATTGTATGGCAAATAAAGATTTCGATCAATTTGAACGAAGTAATTGCAGTGCCAGTGGAAAAGAGAATTTATGAATTTGAATGTGGCAGTTTTAGCAGCTTCATTCGAAAATAAGCGGAGGTGACGCGAAGGAAGCTGATTTTAGGGATGATCGCCAGATTTAGACCTGTAATGGAGCTATGAATTAACTATATGTATTAAGAAACATTACAGGATCATACGTCGATGTCAACGCGATATTAATCAATTGTTAATAGTTAATGAATTGTTTTTTGTTGATTTTAAAAAATTTTACACTATCTGGAAACAAATCATACGACAGGCAATGGAATTTAAGGGAATATTGGTGACATCGGTCTTTGCACACGGGAGCTTTTTGTCATTTTGCCTATCTCTGTGAAAACAGACGGTAAATTTGCAAAATATTTCGAGATTTTGGGAGGGGTTCAGCAGGGTTGCATCGTAAATCTGTTAAGTAAACTTGTGGAAAGAAATGGACTTTTGATTTATCGAAGAGCGGTGAATATATTTATGACTTCAACATTCTCATTGGTTTCGGAAAAGGATTGAAAAGAAATGCAGAAATGGTCATTTCATTCCACCTGGACATGAATAGAATTATATAAATAAAGCATATACAAACAATACCTATGATATCCTGTTTTTAGTGACCATGGCTGGTATTTTATACCGCTGACCAGCGTAACATATGCATGACGTTTCTTGGCTTTCGTACGTCGTAATCATGCCGTTGCCTTTCATTGCTTTTCTCAAGCTGCATTTCCATTTCAGCGTTCTGTAGCTTAGTCTTAAAAGCCCAACTGACAGGCTATGAATCCGTAAAAGCTATGCTGACATGCACATATGCTATTCTGACGGGTGAACATATTCAAAACTAGGTTTTGCTACTAACTTTCCAGAATATCATGAAAATTGCCTAGCTATTGTCTTTATATATTAATTTATGCTTGAATCTGTTTATTGTTTATGTCTGTAATCAAGGCATGTTGTTCGTTTCGTGTTGTGATGCTTGTATTCGATTCATCACAGTGATGCAGTTTTGTTTCGCTGCACTGTGGATGCTGTAGTAGTGATAGTAGTAATCTCTTTGACGGGTTCTGTAGTCCTTTAGAAGAAAGATGATGGTATAATCCGGAGTAGCAGCACTGCATCTAAAATAGGTCCTAGTTCTGTGGCTGTGGATTTAGGTGGCTTAACATCAGTGAACAATCAAATGCTAAAGACGGTCAAAATTATGTCCTGAAGTAAGGGGAGGGTTGAGCAAGATTTGGTGGTCATACAACGTGTATACAGGAACAGTGATGCTGCTTCTTATAAACTATAACTCTATTAGTGGTAAAGTTTGACGCAAAAATATGACCCTTAAAGAAAAATGAACCGAAATTCAGAAGTCGCTTGTGCGGTTGTTTAGGCACGTCTTGCTAAAGTCCAGAAAGGAAGGCTGCACATCTACTTCTTGTGTAACTTACAGATCGAAAAGCCCGGGGATGGTGAAAAATAATTTTTGACGAGTATAGACTCTGTTTGGAGAACTGCGCCAAACTCTGATCTATTTTTTGCCGAGGCCAAAATGTTGGCACCTAATCAGGAACCGGCAAACCTTCTCTGACGCGTCTGGTTCCGCCGCTCGAAACAGTCTTCGAAACTGACTGACGGGCTGTAAAAAAGTGAAGAACCTATGAGCTCTTGAAAATGACGATGGCCTTGCAGAAAGTACATAGAATTCGATTAGATTCGTCGAAACAGTTCGTTATCCAGTACCGTTATACGTATCTGTTTGATAACACAGAAAAATGCCATCTAAAATGGTCTGGGCATATGAAAAAAAATGAAACAAAACAAATTGTGGATGAAAACTGACAAAGCGCGAGGGATACAGAGAAGAAACTACATCGTGCGCGAGAAGATTACAAACTAACCAGTACAAGCTTTATTTAGGGTTAAAGATTGAAATCTACTGTTTGTACTGTTTTGGCTGGATTATAGACAAAACAGTAATTAATTTAATTTATTTTAATTAGTTATACATGACTAATTAACCTTAATAAAATTTCCGTTGAAATTAAAATAAATTTATATGAATAGCAGTTTCAGAATATGAATTTTAGGAATCGTCTTTATAAGTGTAAAATTTTGTAAGAGACTTTTGTTGTTGAATTCGAAACGTCTTGGCTTCTTCCGGTCGACTGAAGATTTTCTTTCATAGCAATGGCTATGTCAGCGTGAGTGCGTTACCAGAAATCATTATCCTCGGCCAACTGATGATGTACTTGACGAAGCCAGCTCAAAGGTGATCAGGCAGCTACGAAGTTTTGCCAGTTTGAAGGATAAGCAATCATTATGCACATTTGCGAATTGATGTATGAACTGAATCGTACGATATGTATGATCTTATTTCATTGTTTTGAAATAACTGGGTTGCACCTCCCGAATGCGGCTTCAACTGCGT